TGACTACTAAATTAGACCAGATCAAAATTTTTCGGGTTAATAAACTATCCACTTTAGAAAACAACTGCCTCTGTTTTTATGTACATAGTTTAATGTAACTATAGCAGAAATGTTTCGAAACAAAAAATTTTAAATCGAAAAACTCACCAAAAAATTTAAATAAATATCGAAATTTCGAAACAGCCCTGGACTATAGCAAAGATTTATAAATTATAACTTTTCATTTTCGTCTTTCGCCTTTTAAAATTCAAGTAAAAAACTTCAACAACATCCTTAATTTTTCATTTAATAATGAAACACCCATAACTTTATGTTTAATTTTTGGAAATGACAGATAAAGATCACAATTTTACTTCGTGTTGTGAATTGCTACTTCGCTTTTTAAATTATAACTTTTAATTTTCGTGTTTTGCCTTTTAAAATTCAGTTTCGACAAACCCTGCTACCAATCAACCTATTTCTACCTTTTTTTACTCCTTTCTATCCTACCCTCTTCCCTCTTCCCTCACCCCTCACCCCTCCCCCCTCCTCCCCCCCCCCCTCATTCCTCGGCTCCCATACAAAATACCGAATTCTTAAAATATGGAATCTCAAAATCGCGAATCGGCTAAAAAAGCTCAAAATATGGAATCTCAAAATATCGAATCTCAAAATATGGAATCCCAAAATATCGAATCGGCCAAAAAAGCTCAAAATATCGACAATGCGGCAAAAGCCAGTTGAGTCTGAACAATTTTATCAACAACTTCGAAAAAAATTTAAAAATATGCAAAAGGGTTTTTCTAGGGTAAAAAATATGCTGATTACGAATCTGAGCTCGGATTTTGAAAAAGTCGAATCCCAGACCATGAACCGAGCTTCGAATCCCGAACCGAATTTCGATTTTCCGAATGATAGCTCATTTGAAAGAGCACGACGAGCTGCATCGACTGATACCAAAATCAATGAAATCCGACTTTATTGGACTGAGATACAGACCCCTGAATAAACTGAAAAAGACCTGCACTCAATTGGCGGCACTCAAACGGCCCTTTTCGATTTAAAAAATTCGACATTTTTAACTACTTTTTAGCCGATTCGGTATTTTGAGCATTTTAGCCTATTCGAGATTTTGAGATTCGATATTTTAAGATTCCATATTTTGAGCTTTTTTGGCCGATTCCATATTTTGAGATATTTTTCCCGATTCGGTATTTTGAGCTTTTTTAGCCGATTCGCGATTTTGAGAATTCGGTATTTTGTGCGGGCACGCATTCCTCCCTTCCCTACATCTCTCCATCTTTAGATTTTATTTTCGTGCCCGCTCAACTCATCGAATCCTTAACTCATCGAATCGACCAAAAACGCTCAACTCATCGAATCGGCTAAAATTCCTTAACTCATCGAATCGGCTAAAATTCCTTAACTCATCGAATCGGCCAAAAACACTCAACTCATCGAATCCTTAACTCATCGAATCCTCAACTCATCGAATCGGCCAAAAACGCTAAACTCATCGAATTTTTCCAAAAGGGGACGTTTGAGTCCCCTGTTTTTATTTTTCTCCCGAAAGGGCTAACTGAATCTTCGTTGAAAAAATTTTTTGCTGCTATGGAGGCTAGGAAAAAGGGCTTTTGGGCATAATCGGGGTCTACTGGACTAATTTGGTCCGGTTTTACCCGGTAAAATCTCCAGCATAATTTATTAGGAATGAGATAATGTTCTGATAATGTTTTCACTGGCCGGATAAACTTGGATGAGTGCCCGATCAACTAATTAACAAAATTAGTTGAAACCCCAGAAGAAAACAAAAAAAAATAAACAAAACAATAAAAAATCTAAAAAATAAACACGGGGACTCAAACGTCCCCTTTTGGAAAAATTCGATGAGTTGATCGTTTTTGGCCGATTCGATGAGTTGAGGATTCGATGAGTTAAGGATTCGATGAGTTGAGTGTTTTTGGCCGATTCGATGAGTTGAGGATTCGATGAGTTAAGGATTCGATGAGTTGTAGGGTAGCCTTTATTTTTTCCTCTCTATCTTTATAATAAATAAAAATTTATTTTTAAAAGATAAAATCATTTATCCAATATGTCATCCCTCTTCTTGCCCTTAATTTCCCCCATCTCTTTCTTTACAATGCTGGCAGCGAAATCTAAATATAGGTTGGTTATTGGCCAAAAATTTAAACGCGCGTGTTGTCTGTTAGACTTTTTACAACTACCCAGTTGCCAGTCTTTAAATTTTATAGAGACTTTTGATTGTATATTAAATAATTTTTTTTATTGATTTTTATATTTAAAATATTTTTATTAATTTTAATTTTTGTATTTTTAATTTTTTAATTTCTAAAATTAATTAATTTGGGCTGAAAAAATTTTAACTACTAAAATGAGGTGTAAAATTTTGGAACAATGCCAACTAGATTTAAACAAATGTGAGTGTTTACGTTAGTGGCGGTTCACATGAAGGGGCCTGACTATGTCGAATTTTCCTAAAACATTTTTTTACATTCCTAAAAATTTTAGCAGATTAAAAATTTTTAAATTTTTTGGTAGCGGGTTGACTCTATTTTGAGATTTAAATGCAAATAATAAAGTTCGGATCCTGACCGGGTCCGGATTTTCTGGATCCCGTGGTCCGGAATATGGGTAGTTTGATAAAAACAGGATTTTCCTACTTTTTATATGAAAATCAGGTTCGGATCGTGTCAAAAGCTCGGATCCGGTCCGGCTCCGATATAAAAAACGGCATAATTCTCCCTCTCAAAATGGGGAAAGTAAATCAAAAAATTTGGGTGGGAAATTATCAAAAATGTAAATTTTTGTCGCATACAACATCTAAAATTCTCAAAATTTTCTCCTTCGGCGCCAAGAAAGGAATACTCCTGATCAAATTAAATTAGAATTTTTAGATTTTCTCGCGAAGATAGTTTTTTATCTTCGATATTTTCTCTAAATCCCATAAATCTATTGGTCTTTATTTAAAAATGTTATTTTTTCCATTAAAAATTTAAAAAATAGTTTTTTTCTTATCAAAAGTTAAGAAGAGGAACTTTTTTGAGTCAAAAAATGTCAAAATGTTTAAGTGCATGGCGAGCGAAAATCTGTCCATCCTTGCAAAATATCTCCATCATAGCATAAACTGATTATTTTTAATTTCAATCGGACCCACTTTTATGACATTCCACTTGCACAATAGTCTCATTCTTTCATTCACAAAAAATTTTATCTTAACTTTTAATTTTAATATTATTGCAATTAAAAATAAATAATTAAATATTTTTTGTTTTCAATTGTAATCCTTTCATTTATTACCACAAATTTTAATACTTTATATAGATATATATTTATATTTATTTTTTATCTGCCATTTAATAATCCAAATCTGTATTTCCTAAAAATAAATTTTAAATGCCGACAACTATTTATTTTAAATAAATAATTATTTTTAAGTCCATCTTTAATCCTTTACTCGCGCAATAAACCGATATTTTTAATATATTTTTAAAATAATATAATCTCCCCTTATATAAAACATTTATAGCATTTAGCTAATCTTTCTATAATTATTTTATTTACAAATTCCTTAAAATTTATTTTTTTTATTTTTCTATACTTTACATATTACAAATACACTCCTAAATAAATTTTTAATAATATTTTAAGATTTTATTTTTATATTTCTGTTTTATATTTCTATCTATATATTTGAAATTAGTATAATCAAGAAAACTGTTAGAAACTCTAATTTATAAAATTCTTTATTTCGATATTCTTACTTTGAATTAATCAGATAAATTAGTAGTTTGTCTCCATAAAAATTTTAAATTATTAAATTTGAATATATTTTTCTATCAAAAAATTTTTTTAAATTTAATTTATAATTATTTATTTATATTTTTTATTAAGTATTCCTATCACTTAAAATAATTATTTTCTAATCAAATACAAACATATTTTTCCCTTATTTTGTTTGTCATTAAATAATATTCTTAGTTTTCGGTCAGAATCTTCCTTTTTACTTTTATTTAATTTTTTTTTCATTTTTTATTCAAGATTTTTAAGGCTTCTTATGAATATTTAAATACACAAATTATAATATTAATATATTTTCAGATTAATTTTTTGTAAACAAAAAATTAAAACATTAAAGACCAAATTATTTTAATGTACTTTTTTTTTAATTTTAATTTTATAGTTGACTGTTTAAATAATTATTTTAATTCTTTAATTAAATATATAGACTAAATTTATTAAATTTTAAATAATTTTTCATCCTCTTTTTAACTAAAAACTATCAAAAATTAATCATTATTTACTAAAATAATTAATTAAAAATTTAAACAAAAATTAATTTTTTTAACAAAATTTGTCTGGCAATCCTTCCTTTTAACTTTTTTAAATAAATTAATTTCTTTCTCCTTTTTGGCCTTTTCATGCTGTCATGGTTTTATAGTAAAAACATTATTATTTTCGCGCACTAATAAAATTATATTTCCTTTTTACTTCGTCACATTTAGTGCCATAAATAAATTAAAAACTTTATTTTTAGTTAAAAATTGTCAACCTTCTTTTTACATCACTCTCACACTTAAAATGGCTCATTTATTTTTATATTCACACAAATATTTTTACTTTTTGAAAAACAAAAAAAATTTTGTGAGCCAGACAATTTGTATGTTGATTACGGGACACGCCCAAAACGGCGCGCGGCCATAACGGCGCAAAGCCTTAACTTTCTTCAAGATTTCTTAATTAGCTATATCAGATTTAGTATCAAACGATTCCTCTCATCGAGCTAGGGAGACACAATTTCCCTCAAGTTATGGCTTTGAGCCGGTATGGCCGAGCGCTGTTTTTGGTTTTACCCATTGATTACGCATTTCTGATTTTTGCGAATCCAGAGAAAAATAATTTTCTTATATTTTAGATTAGTTTTTAAAATTACATATTTTAAATATGTATTTACCATTTAATTCTATGTTGAGAGCCATCTTTCTGCTAGCACTTGTGTTACTTTAGAGTTTATCATTAAGAAGCTGTCTGTAACTAATCATCTTACATGATTCAATACCATAAACTTTCATAAAAATAACCGATAGATAGTTTCGAATGTTCAAATAACTAACCCTAGCTTCAATTGCTTTTACTAATAACCAGGAAAAAAGCCCGAAGTTATTTTTAAAATTAACAGTATATCCCAATTTATCTAAAGCTTGTTTATATTTAAAAATCCCAACAGACCTTACATTTTCTCTCATTAAAATTATTTCCTCGGTTGCCTTTAACTACAAACAAAAAAGTAAATATTATTTTTACACACTTTTAATTATCTTTATTTTTAATTGTAAGCTTACTTTTTGTGTGTGAATTTTGAGCAAAATCTTTTTGTACCCTATAATTTTTTGTTGAGAGTGACAACTTTTATTTTGAGCTATAATAATAATACTTTAATAAATGTAAATATGTCTGTTTATTTTGTCTTATTTAAAGTACTTTCTTTGAATTTGAAACTTTATATAAAATAATTATTTTAGAGATTTTTCCATTTTAAAACGCCTTTTATTTAATATACTTGTTAAATTTTTTTATTTATTTTAGATTAGATTTTTATTTTCTTTGTTTTTGGTAAATAATTTTAAATAAAATTTTAAAATATAATTAATTTTTAGACGCCAAATATTTATAGGTAAAGTAAAACACCGAGCAAATAAAACTAATGTCTAATACATATTAGTCCTTTACAAATATCGAGAATTAAACTATAGAAAAATCTTTTGTGTTTTTTTTCAAAATTTTTCATCATAATCTTATACCTAAAACTACATATGTATATTCAATTTTTTTTGAAAATTTTTTTATTAAATTGTCTCTATTTTATACTTAACTAATTATTTTGTTTTTTAAATAAATATTTTTAAATTATTAATATAGCTAATTTATTTAAAAAATTCTTTTAAATATTTAAATAACATTTGTAAAGCTTTTCTTTAAAAAATTGTACCTTTTCTAAGCTTAAATTTCCTTCAAATTTGCCCTTTTATAAACACAAAATTATTTATTCTCACGCAATCTATTTTTTCTTTAATTTAAATTCGTAAATATTTTTTTCTTTTTTAATTGTGCCTGTTCGTAAATAATTATTATTTTTTATTGTTATTTAAATTTAGCTTGAAAATAAATTTAAAATAAAATTTAACTTTTTTGGAATATATAAAGTTTCAAAAATCTCTAAAAAATTATTTCTATTAATTGAAGATTTAATAAAAATAATTTTTCAATTTTTATTAGCATTTATTTCTTCACAATTATCCCAACTTCCACAAATATATTTTTTATTTAAATTTTTCATTATTATTAAAATATTTTTTTATTTTTAGTTATCACAATTATTTTAAATAAAAATAGAAAAAATATAATTAAATTATTATCAACAAAATAACAATAAAAAACAAAATTGGTAATTTTATTTTTTTAATATTTCTTATTTTTAAAAATTTTCAGAAAATGCTAAATTAACAAACAAAAATGCAACAACAATTAATATATTTAAATATTAAAAATTAAATATATTTAATTAATTAAAAAAAATAATTTTTTGTCAATTGTGAGCATTACCAGCAAATGCCCTCTTCTTTAGAGGCAATGATTCAAAACATGATACAAGCGGGTATTCCACAAGCACAAATGATGCAATTATTGCAAACAATGCAGGTACTAAACAAAAATTAATTTTATTAAACAAACAATATTATTAAAAATATTTACTTTAATTTCCTAAATTAAATTTTTCTAAATTGTTTTTTTAATTTTTCTAAAATCTAAGACACTTAAATTCTTAATGTTATTTAAATTTAATTTCATTTTGTTGTCATGACAATGTAAAATGAAAACTTTAAATAAATTAAAAAAAATATTTTTTTTAATTATTTAATATTTATTTTGGATTAATTTATGTACTATTATTTCTTTAATTAACATTTCTAAAATTACTAATTTATTCTTGTTCTTCCTATTTAATAACATCCAATTTTTACCCTATAGTTAATCAAAAATCTAAATTATAATTAATTTAATTAATTTTTAAAATTTCTTTTAAATTTTTTGATAATTATTTGCATGCAACCAAATAATAATTTTTTAAAATTTGTTTCATTATTTATTGCGTGTTACTTTTGATGAAAAGAAATTTTTAATAGATTAATTTTTATGACAAAAAATATTTAAAAAAATATAAAATTATTTAATTTACTAAGAAACAATATTACAATTTTTGTTTAAAAATTAGATATTTGATTAGTTTTTATTAGGTCTCAAGGGTTTTATGGAGCTCATAAATTATCTTTCAGATTATCAATTTTATAAGATTTTTGGTTACCTACCGCACATACTCTATTAATTACCCTGGGTAACTATTGTTTCGACCTCTATGTGGAGAGAGTAATTGATAAAGGCGGGGTAATTAATAGAGGTTATTTTAATTATAACTATTTATTAATTATAACTATTTTTAAGAGGGTAATTATTGTTTCGACCTAACCTTCACATCTTATGATTTCTAAAGCTTTTTTATATTTTTTCCCCACACGTCTTTTAGGTTTCTATATATAATTATTACAATTTCAGCTGTTTATTTTAACTAATAAATTTATTTAATTTGTTTCATAAATTATACATAATTAAATATTTTATTTATTATCTACCTATTCCGATCTTTGATGTTTTATATTCTCAACTTAAATATTATTTTTAGATTTCGAAATTTTTTAAAATCTTTTTTTTAAGTTTTAGTTTAACAAACAAAAAATATAAGACGATTGGATTTTTTTAAAAAATTGTTTGTATATATTTATTTGTTTTATTTAAGTTTAACAAAAAACTGGGTACAGGAGTTTCTTTTCTTATTGTAAACAAATATCCGAATTTAGTTCTTTTAATATTTGTCTAACTCAACCTCTAAAGTTTTTGAAATCATCTAATTTTTCCGAAGGTAATTGCGCAGTTTTATCGCACACTGAAAAAAACTTTGTTTACCCTCTAAAATTCTTTAACAATTTTTAGAAAAATAAAATATACCTATTCAAAAATCCTTCATTTTGTTAATAAATTTTTCGTGGTTCTTTATTTACAAAGTAATTTTTAAGTAATAACTAAGCTCAATAAAAGAGACTTCATACAAATGAAGACCTTAATAATTAGTAGACTCTTGGTCTTGAGTCTTGATTCCAAGACTTTTCTTGTGTTTTTTTTCGGTCTTGGGGTGAAGTCTTGGGCTTGAGTTTTGAGAATTTTCGGTCTCGTACGCTTCTAATAATAAACTTTGTATCTCAATTATTTCGTTGTTTCAAAGATTGACTTCTGGTAAGAATCTTTGAATTTACTTAAATTTTTGGTCTTAGCATAAACAATTTCCTAGTAACTAATAAAGAGTTAATTAATTCTAATATCAAGCTCTAATTAATGTTCATCTTGAATTTCAGGGAAAAATTCATTTGCTACTTTTACTTTTAATGTTTCCTTTTTATTTTGAATTTAATTTTTTACATATGTATGTATTTTTTATTGTAATCTATTTCATTCTTTGTTTTTTGTTCAAATATCAGATCTCATTCATAATAAATTCGAGATGGATTTACTTAAATTTAACTATAAATATTTACTTCTTTGTTTACCTTTTATTTTTTATTTTCATCTATTCTTTAGCCTCTCGCCTACACTTTACTTTTTATCTAAAACTGCGCAATGTTTACCATTCATCCTTCCAACTCGAGGCTGTTCTTCCTTCCTTCCCGAACAAATAAATCCATAAATAAATAATGGCTAGAATATGATTTTTTAAATAAAATATTTTATGAAAAAAAATATTTTTGAAATTTTATATAAATTATTGAGTTTACTTAAGTTAAAATTTTATTTATATTTTAACTTAGAAACTCGATTTGATTGTCTATCACTAATTCATTAGAATTATCTGACTCTTCTCATAGCATACTTAAATTTATTTCCTAACTCCAGATATTGAGTATTTTTATCCTTAAACTAATTTCTAATTTACTTTTTCTTTATAAATTTAATAAAATATTAAAATTAATTTTAAAATAAATATTCAAAAAATCATCCTTTTTTAAACAAAAAAATATTATTTAATTTAATTTTTTATTTTCTTTAAAGGCTACAGCCACAAATAACAACAATATTTCTTCTCCAGCAATTAACGGCACAACTAACTCCGCCACTAATAGTTCAAGTGGCGGAGGTCACCAAACTGTTAATCAAGCCCATCAACATTTTTCATTAGCTAATAATCAACATCAACAAACTGCAAGTCAATCCGCAGTAGTAGCATCAGGTGGTGGGAATGGAGGATCTACTGCGGCAGTAAATACGGCAGGTGCACATCAAGTTGCTGCTGCCGCTGCTGCAAGTCTTCAGGTGAATAAATAAATATTTTTTTTTAATTTGGAAAATATTTTTTCTGAGTAATATTGACAATTTAATTAGAAAATATTTTTATATACATATTAGATTAGCTTTAAAAAATAGATAATAATATTATTGAGAGTTTGAGAGAATTTTTATTTTTATAATTTTAAATTGAGTTTGCTTTTTAAAGTCTTAATTGAGTCTTCTATTACAGGAAGTCTTATATTACATGACTACATATTAAGCTCTTCAATTTAAGTCCTATATTATAAATAGAACTAGGATTCGTCCTTTAAATGAAAAAACCAACACTTGTATTTTTTATATTGAATATATCCTTTATTTATGTCTTTAGAATTGACATTTTAGTTTTTAAGAAATCCTATTTAAAACGATTATTAAATAAAATTCTGATTGCTCTGTTGATTCAAGAGTAATGTGTCTAAACATCGAGTTCTGCTTATTCTTTGGCCCGTGTTTTCTATTTTTGATTTTTGGGTGGTATTTTGATTAAGGGTTGGTTATCGAATATTGTTTTATCAATTCTAAAGTAATTTATTTTGCTATCGAGGATGAGCTCCAAATTCCTCCCCGCTAGTTTCAGAAATAAAAAAATAAAAACTTTTATTTACATTACACAAGAGATATAAAAAATTTAAGAAAGCTAGAGGTAATAAATGTTTGTTACACACTACAAAAATCAGCATGTACATATATGTAAATACAAATCAGTAGCTCTCCGCTTTAAAAAATTTTCCCTCAAACAACTGGCCAAAAAAAGGCAGCTGTTCCAACGTGTTTAATGAGCGAATGCTTTAAGGGAGTTTTTTCTACCCCCTGTTTAATTTATTTGATGGCTGTCAAGGAAGAAGAAACATTTAATAAAATATAGTTTGTATATAATTATGAAAGTGATTGACTTCTTCGATAGCGATTTAGGTTAGACAATGAGGAGGGAGGGAGAGAAGGGGATGAATGGAGGGATAGAGAGAGGATGTTGTGATTGGATAGATGCGTGGATAATGCCGAGTCTCTGTGGCATTTATTTACACCTTTACCTTTTTTTAATTTTTTTCTCTCCCCTTTATTTCTTCACCTTTCCATCCAATATTTAACTTCACACCATTCTTGACATATGATTGGACATTGATTTTAAAAATACTTTTTTCTACTCTATTACTCGAGTAAATTTTTCAATTTAAAATTTTTATTTGACTTTTTTATTTACCTTTACTTTATTTAAAAAAATTTAAAATTTATTTTTTTTATTTATTTACCTGTCTTTTATTCTTTTTTTCTTTCTAAATTTAATTTTTCTTTTAAAAAATTAATTTAATTTATCTCCAAAATCTACTAAATTCTACTATCGTACAAATATTTAATTCGTACAAATATTTAATCTCTTTTCTGTGAGAATCTAAAAATTTTAAATAACTCCTCATAAAAGCCATTTAAATAAAATAAATAATTTTTTGAAGTAATTTAAATTAAAATAATTATTTTATTTAAATTTTAATTTTAAAAAATATTTTTATATAAAATATATATTTTGGATAATATTTTAAATAAATATTTATTTAAAATTAATTACAAAAGAATATTCTTTAATTAATTACAATATTTTTATAATATTTATTTCCTTTCTTTAAATATTATTTAATAATAATTATTTAATCATATACAAGTTTATTTAATTATTTCCTCATTTTTATATTTTACATAAAATTTTAAAAAAACTTTCAAAATTTCTCTCAGAAAATATAAATAAATGCACTTTAATTCTTATAAACATTTTTCGTAAATATCAAAATATATTTTTTTATTAAATAAACGAGACAATTTAAATTATTTTCTTCTCTTTTTTCTTAAGGAAAAGAAATATTTTATTTAATTTAAATTATTTTAATTATTTAAATTATTTATTTTTGATTTTAATTAATTTTTTTTCTTTCACTATAAAGTTTAAAAATTTATAATTTCTCTAATAAATAATTTATTTTTCTTATTTTAATAACACCTGATTAACAAAAATTTTTTTTGTTGATTTAATTTCTAGCCTCTGTATTAGATGAATAAAAATTTTTAGTTATTTTATTTACTATTCCTTCAGTAAGGTTAAAAAAATTTTTTTTATTTACTTTAAAAATGGGATTTCTAAATTGTCATATTTTAAAAGTTAAAATAATTTTTCTTTTTTATGTATATTTAACTTTTAATTTAAATATCAACTGGTTAATTTATTATTTAAAATTGTTAAATATTTAATTAATTTAAAAAATAATTATTTTTGGACTTCTTTAAAGCAAATTTTTATTTTATTTTCTTTTAATTTTTTAAGTGAAATAATTTTTATAAAATCAATCTTAAATTAATTTCTTTAATTAATTTTTTGATAATTACTTCATTAAAGAATATTTTACATATTTTTCTACTATTAAAAAAATTTTTTTAATTGACGTATATTTTGACAAGTATTTTTTAAATAAAATTCTTATGTCAATAAACAAAACTATAAAATATTTTTTAAATTAATTTAACATTTTCTTCCTTAAATATTCTAAATATTTTAATTGTTTGCAATTTTTTCTTCTTCTTTTTCAATTTAAATTTTCATCATTTTTAACATTTTTTGCAGCAATCCACGCATTCTTCCACCTCACAAACATTTTTACATAAATAAATAAAATATTTAAATAAACATACACAACTTTTTCTTTATTCGTGGCAATTTCCAACTATTTATTTACTTCTACGATCCACGATTTTATCTGCATTGTATTTAAAGGCGCACCTAAAGTAAATATATAACCAAAAACAGTTTAGCAACAAATCTTCATTTTTAAATTTTTAAAATACTTTGTTAAAATATCTAATATTATTTTTGAATGTTTTTAAAAAATAATTTGAGAATAAATAAATTATTTTTTGAACATTGCTTGAACACGAAAAATATACTATCTCAAACATCAAATATTTATTTATTTGGATTATTTTTATCTCGACAGATTATTTTCAATTGCCATATCCTCATCCTAATATATTTCTATTTTTTAACATCTATTTTCTATTTAAAATATTTTTTCTTTTAATTTTAGATTATTAGATAAAAGTCAAAAATATTAGATTTTATACGTAAATGTCTAGATTCTTTTGGCAGACACCGAATAGTACAAGCATCGCAAACATTCCAAACTCAGCACTAGCAACAGGGGGGACTTCCATTCAAACACAAATTACCCCAAATGTGGGGAAGTTGCGATAATATAAAAATAATATTAAAATTAGGCATTCAAATCCCTTAAAAACAAAAAATAATTTAAATCACTAAAGAGATTATTGTGATAGACGGGGGTAGGGAATAAAAAAAGGAAAAATAATCTCCTACTACATATTATTCGTGATTATTTTAGTTAAAAGATTTAAATAATTTTTTTTTGGGGAAAGATTTATATTTAAACTAAATAATAAAAAAATTTGATAAACAAATACCGGAAGAGATTAATTTATTTGAATAATTTGATAAATAAATATTTTTATGATTCTAAAATTTAATTCGATAATGATTGTGTTAGAAAAATTATAAAATTATATAAAATTTATTTTATAATAAATTTTAGTGTTTATTAAAATTAAAAAAAAAATTAAATTTAAATTTAGTATTAATTTCTTATATTTAGGTTGTAACATAAGTTTTGATACCCGAGCATGTTTTTCGATGAATACTTGTATTGATATGGATGTTCTATATACCATTCGAAAGCTTAATTCGTATCTCGTTTGACATGTTTCAGCGTTTTTTAAAAAAATTTTAAACTTCTTAGATATACACTGATAAATGGGATATGGTCGGATATGCCAAATCCGGATCCGGCTAAATAAATTTTTTACAAAAGATGTAACATAAAATGATTATTCACAATAATTTTAGAAGCCAGAATCAAAAAAAATCAGGGAAAAATCTTTTTCCTAACCCAAGATATGAATTTTTAAAAAAATTTTTTTTTAAAAAACGCTGAAACATGTCAAACGAGATACGAATTAAGCTTTCGAATGGTATATAGAACATCCATATCCATACAAGTATTCATCGAAAAACATGCTCGGGTATCAAAACTTATGTTACAACCTAAGTAATTTATAGCAATTAGCCACGCTTCAACAGCAACAACAACAAATACTAGCAGCTCATCACCATCAACAACAGCAACAACAGCAATACCAACAACAACAGTCTGCTGCATCACACAATCCGACAGCATCTGTTGCAGCTGTACAACAAGCACATGTTGCAGCTGTGGCTGCTAGTGGTGGGGCAGGTTTTGACATAAATATTTTTAAATAAATTTTTAACTTAATTTAAAGCTGGCCAACACCAATCTACAATACACGCAACTTCTTTGATGCAACAAATGGCTGCCGTTGCCGCTGCAGCACAGCAACAACATCCACATTCCCAACAACCAACAAATACTTCTGTTGGACTTCAAGCTGTAATGCAACAACAATTACAACAAACGGCAGCTGCAGGTTCGGCGGCAACACATCCTATGGCTGCAGCACTTGCCCAGGCAAGTGGAAAAAATGTAAATTAATGAAAAAATATTTCTTCTATAGTATAATTTTGGAATTTTATTATAAAAAAAAATAATAAAAATTGTTTTATTTATTCACAAAATATTTTTTTCTCAAACTACATAGAATTATTCTTTTGGAAAATTTTATTGCCAATTTTTAAATTTTTTTTTGTAATTGTAACACTATAAACAAACAAATGATAAAATATTTAATTTTTGCTCATAAAATATTTTGCAGAATTTTAAACGATTTCCAAACTTTCCTTTAAATTTTGACTTTATTTACTATTTTCAGTCCATGCTTTTATTTATTAAGATCTTTTTCAGGCTCAATTTGTTGCTTCAATCCAGCAACAGCAGCAGCAACAACAGCAAGCTGCAGCAGCTGTTGCTAATAATGGCAATACAGGTGTATCTGTCTCTCTACCTCCCGGAATGGCTGTAGCAGTACAACATCCACAATTAGCTTCTAATGTCGGACAAAATGTTTCGGCAAACAATGCTGGACAGTTGGTACCTTCTTTGGCTACTCCTTCTCTAGCTTGGCCAATTTTTCAGCCAATAGTAAACATTGTAAGAAGAATTTTTTAAAATAATCTAAAATATAACAACCAAATTTTCAGCCTTTTTTTGACATGGCCACTTATCAAAAAGTTAATTTGGACGTTCAGCCAAGTGCCATGGCCAATGGAATGGATTTACCCTTAAATGATATTAACACACTTAGGTTAATTTAAAAAATAAATACATTAGATAATTATTTTTTTCTTTCAGGTTTTTCTTTAATTTTGGTGTTCAACATGCTAGAGCTATACTTCTTCGTCAACATATCAATTCTCAACAGCAGCAGCAACAACAGCAACAACAACAGCAGCAACAACAACAGCAACAACTTGCTTTACTTCATAATTCAGGAACGGGAGCACAAGCTGGACAAGAGTGAGTTAAATAAAAATAAAAAAGGGGCATAAGATTCGCTTGTCGTTTTGAGTCGAATGTCGTTAGTTTTAGAAAAACCGGATAGGTATTGATCTGCTTATGATCAATCAAATTCGCTCAATTTAATTTGAGCCGGCTGATCAAACAGGACTAATCCAATCTGATCACCTCTCTCCACTGTCGATCGTTTGATCATAACTAGTCCAACATCGGTAATTTTACTATTCGACTTAACTCGGCGAACATTATTCCTGAATAATTGGTATTTTGGCATAAAATAAATTTATTTAATTAGTATTTTATATTTTAAAAACAATATATTTTCTTCTTTGGAAGGTTAAACAATGCCAGTGAACAGCTACAGATGCAACAAAAATTATTAATGCACCAGTCTCTATTAAAGTAATTTTTTAAAATTAAAAATAATATTTTTATAACAATAATAATTGTAGTGGTAATCAAATGACAATTGTTGATACTAGTAATAATAGTAATATTGAGGGAAATCGTGTTGTTTGTGGTCAAACAATTCAATTTAATCCAAATCCCCAAATAAACGAACAAATAGGGCAAAATATCTCTTGGCAAGTAAATACCTCTTCTAATGGAGCAAATACTCCACAAGGGTTAATATTATTGCAACAAACTGGAGGAGGAGGGGAATTACCCCAACAAATTGTTGGAATTGGTCAAATAATTGGAGGAAATGGAGGAATAATAAATACTGGGGATAATGACAATACAGGCCAAATAAGTTATGGAAGAGCGGATAGTACACTTGGAGGGATTGGGGTAAATTGTGGAAAAATAAATGAAATTGAAGGAGGAGGGAGTGGTGGAGTTAATATTATAATGAGTGAAAATCCTACTGGAAAATTTAATAATATCCAAAATAGAGGGAATATTCCATCAAAATTTTATGGAAATAAAAAATCTGTTAATGTTATTGGTCAACAATTATTACAAGAAAGGTTTTATTTTTTGTTTTACCTTACTAACAGAAATTTTGAAAAAAAAATTTCTAAAATTTATTTTAATTTCACTTAAGAGCTCAAAGTGATGCTGCTGCCGTTGCGGCTGCTGCTGCTTCAATAAGTGAAAAATCTGCAAATCCATCAAATAATAACAACGCTGGTGGTGTTACTAACAATGCTGCAGCTGCTGCCGCACAGCTTTTACATGGTGGAATTGTTGGCTTTCAAAATCAACTTCAAATGAATCAATTGGTAAATTCATCCCTCTTTTTGCATTATTAATTCATTATTTTAGGCAGCACTCATGGCCAATCAGCAAAACCAACAAAATGCAAAACTTGCAAGTCTTTCTAATACGGGAGTTGATTCATCAACTGATTTAAGTTCAGGGAATGTTGGTGCAGCAGGTATTATCATTTTGTTATCTGAAAATAATTTTTATAGTCCAACAACTTCGTTCTTCTTCTCAACAAAATACAACACAGCAACAAACACAATTAACAGCAATGCAACAACTATTGTTACAACAACAACAGCAGCAACAATTATCTGCTGTAATTGCTGCCCAACAACAGCAGCAACAACAAGAACAGCAACAGACTGATAATGGTTCTGCTGGGCATCAGAGACAAACACCTTTGAATGATGTTAATATTTTTTTGAATTATTTAAAAAAATTATTTTTTCAGATTGTTCGCACTCACTTTTTAAACAGCAGTAATGGAAACAACAATGGGAGTAATACAAATAATGGAAATTCTGTTAATCGTACCCCAAATTCCACACCTAGTAATCATTCAAATACTCAAGGAAATGGACATGGAGGAAGCTCAAAAAATGGCACTCCATGCCCAGTAAATGGTCGTAATAGTGTAAATGGGTCTCAACAACAGACAACCTTATCTGGAAATAATTCTGTTTCGCCTAAAACTGGATCCGCCAGTGTGCCTACTGATCCAGCACCGAGAAAACAGTCTTCAATGATTCTTTCTAATCCTCTTAATGTAAATATTTTAATCAAAGCCTTTTAATTAATTATAAATTTTAAAGGCTGAGTTGGGAGAACTTAAAGTGCGTGGTCTTAATGCCCTCCGCAGTCAAGAAGCAATGAGTGATAGTCTTCAAAAACGTTTAGTTGAAATGGCAGCAACTTTAAATTCTAATCTTGTTGCTCCAATGGTATCAAGTGGAGGCGGAGGAGGAAACGGCAATGGGGGAAATGGAGGAAATATAATTTCAACAGGAGGAAGTGCCTGTAATGGAAATAATATACCTCCAGCTATTCTGCTTCAGCAACAACAACAAATTTACCAACATCAACACCAATTGTTACAGCAACAATTACTTCAACAACAAATACTAGCACAGCAGAACCAACAGAATGGGCCAATCTCTAGTCAGAACCAACAAACTTCTTTGGCAAATAATTTTTCGGTAATTTAATCGGAAATTTTTTTATTCAATATTTCTAGAATGTTATTTCAAATCAACGTTCGCAAAGCAACAACGGACAGCAACAACAATCTGGGGGTACAAACACAACCTTGTTACAGTCGATGATTCCATCTGCTGAAACTGAAGGTGCTCCAAATCTTTTGGCTGCCACAGAAATGCATTATACAGAGACTTTTCGACAGGAGGGAGGAAATAGGAAAACGTAAAAAAATTATTATACATATTTAAATATTTTAAATTTAAAATTTTCAGTAAACCAGCCACCCCACAATCTGGTAGACAGCCTCCCGAACTTGAGGTTGGTGCTGGTCTGAATCAAAGACGCAAAAGTGGTGTTTATATGCTTGGTACTTTATAATTATTTTTATTAATTTTATATAAAATTTAATTCTTAGGTATGAACATTAAAGAAGAAAAACCGTCAACTCCACAATCTACCTCTCCTCAATCAACACAGCCTACGGCTACATCTACAGCGGTTAGACCTTTTAGGAAATATTCTTCAAAAAATATTTTTTAGATCTCTACAAGTGCAATGATGAATTATATGAATAATGTGTTAACTTCTGCACGTTCTCATCTTCAGGGGCAAGGTGCTGGAATACAGTTTGATCAAAATGGAAATCAAGTAATTTTTAAGAAATTACTCGAAGAAATCTCAAATTTATCATAGATTGATTACTCTTCTCGCCCGATAGATCAAATCTTTCGACGAGCACGTGAAGAATTAAGTCACTCTCCCTCAAATTTGTCCGTTTCTAATGCTAATGCTGTTTCTGCTGTTGGTGCTGTTAATGCAGCTTCACTTTCATTGGCCCAAGGTTGAACTTGGAATTATTACTTTAAATATATTATTGATAGTTTAATTAATTTTTAGAGTTCTTCTTTTCGAGATAACTTGATTTTATCCTGTACCCTAACTTATACTCTAAAAATAATTATTTAATCATTTGCCTTTTTAACAACCCAATTTAAATAATAAAATAAAAACAAAAATTAAGTTTCAAATGCCAATGTCTCCCATGTTGCTTCAATCCCCTCAACAACTTCAAATGGCGAGAATACATTGACAACATCTGCAATAGGGGGTGATTTAGGCGTTCTTAGCCGTACTTGCCTAATTGGTATTTCTGACACTAATCGTCGTGGAAGTATTGGAACTGCTCAACAATTAGCATCCGCCCAACAAATGACAGTTCAACAACCAGTTCCTTTATCCACAGCTTTATATCCAGGAAATTTAACGCCTCAACAATTACAACAACATTATTTCCAATTACAACAGCAACAACAACAATTACAACAAATTCAACAACTGCAAGCACAACTACAGCAACAACAACAACTACAACAAGGAACTGACAATAATACATCCTTGGATGGTAATCTATTTTTGTAAAAATGTATATTTTAGGTTAGGGCTGAAAGAATTTTTTTTAATTTTTAAATATTACATTCATGAGACAATTAAATGATTTTCTAGTCTAGTCTAACATTTTAAGCACAGTCCTCTGATTAAATATAGCTTTCTATCCACATCTTTCGAAAAAAATATATTCTCAAGGAAAATGAAATTGTTTTTCAGGTAGTAAGAAACGTGCCTCGGGTATAGGCTCAGAAGAAGGTCCTTCTGCAAAATCAGCTCGTTCATCTCTCGGTAACTCCTCGGGCATTGAATCAACACAAGCTTGGACAACATCTTCTGCTGATTTAGTTGTTGATACTAAGAATGTTCAATGTTCTTCTGCCGGTCCAGAGCAATTAGAAAGAGAAGAAATGTCAACTAATGATAATCCAATTAATATTGTTGATGGAAATATTTCTTCCGATTCTTCAAAACAAAAATTAAATGAAAATATTGAAGAGGATGATTTTAATGGAAATGATGAGAATAATTTAATTAATGTTGTACATGATAATGAAGATATTAATGAAGGTGAAAGGGCGGCAGCAGCTTTAGAACAAGGAAATAATACTTCAATATTAACAAATAATATTAGAGCACAAGATGAAGGAATTGATTCGCCCAGTAATGGGAAACAATTAAGGATTGTAGAAGATGAAGAAGATGATCAATGAATTTAAAAGAATTGGGAAGAAAAAAAGTAAAATTATTTTGAAATTAAAATTTTGATTAAAAAAATATATGTGAATTCTTTTTTTAGTTTAACCTTTTCTCCTATTTCAGTTATTTTTTATAAACTAGAAAGAGTTATGAAATTAAAATTATGTACAAAATTTTTTTTAAATGATTAGACATTTTAACAATTAATATTTCTTAATTATTTTTGTTATTCTAATTTTTAACAGAAATTTTAATCTTTTAGTTAGTTAATTGTCCCTTTTTCACTAAAAATTTTTTCTTTTTGTAAATAATCTTTTGTTTCCCTTTCTTATTAACATCGGTTATTTAATTTAATCTGAGTCAATTATTTCTTCCTTTTTTGGCCATTTTTTGATGTTTTATTCTCTGTTTTCTCAATATTTTTATCACGCAATATATTTTAAATGATTGGAATATATTAAGGGTTTGGGGCATTTGTATTTAAAGTTAGTTAAATAAATGCCCCAAATCACTTCAAAGTTCCAATCTCAATTAAGAAATATATTTTTTTTTAAATTTTTATTTTCGAATATTTTGAATTAAAAAATATATTTTTAATTAATTTATCCGAAATTATTATTTCCAAATTTTTAGTCCAAAATTATTATTTTACTCTTTTCTTTACCAATTTTTTTAAATATTTTTGTTTCTCGTTTTCCCTTTTTTACAAATTTTCTACAAATTTAATATGTGAAAAACATTTTATTTTTTATTTTCCCTCATAAAAATATCCCGTGAATAATTTTATATATTGTTGATTTGGTTGATTCGTTCTAAAAAATTCCACTCATCCCCAAAATTTATTTTTGTTTGTTTTCTAATTTTTAAATATATTTTTTCTTTTGTTAAATATTTTAAAATAAAATTTCTTTTCCTATTGAATTTTAAAATTATTAAAATATTTTTTTATTCCAAATACCCATAAGTTTCATTAAATATAAGTATAATATATGATAACTAACAAAATTTTGAATACAAAATATTAAAATAAGATTTTATGATTATTAAGAGATCGGTCAGTCAGTTAAATAATTTTCCGGGGTCTTTTATCAGGATTCGGCCAGACTGATACCTAAGATAATTTTTGAGAAGAAAATATTAAAATTTCCATTGTAAAACACGTCTGTTAGTACATCTCTCTTAATAAATTTGATCCAGACTGATAACCTATCGGGATTCGACTGTAACTATTTTTTATATCCTGGGTTATATTCCACCCCCCCCCCCGTGATTGTTTAAGGGAATGAAATAAAAATATAATTAAATGATAGCAATCATTATGCTTTTTTAGCGCATCTAAATCATCCACAAAGGCTATTTATGCACTCACAAGTTAATGGAGACTGTTAATGATATATATTGTTTGTAATAGAGTGACAACCAACCTATCTAAGCACCCGCTATGGCTAAATTTTTATTCTGACCAGTCCCTTCCAATTAATAGAGATAATAAAATAATCTATTCACATTTAAATGACAATAAAAAACTTAATTTCCGGGGCTCTATTAAATAATAATAAATAATAGGCACAATTTTAATTAAAAAATTTAAAAAAAGTCTAACAATTTCTAAACAATAATGAAATAATGTTTATTTAATAAACATTTAAAGGCAAAAATAATAAAAGTAAAATAAAAATCAAAAAATATTTTTAAATTAAAAAAATGAATTTACATATTTAAATTTAATAAATACCATTTAAACAATTAAATAATTTTCTTCGTCGTTTTATTGTCTGGGTTTAATGTTTGTTGAGAATTGAAGCAAAAAATCTAATGTTCTTTCCTTTAAAAAGTAATTGTTATAAAGTTAATTATTTTGGAGGGAAATTGTAAAATTGTCAAGAAAGAATATATTTTCTTAATTAATTAGTACCTGATCTAATTCCCCTTTAGAATCTCTACATTCTGGACATAGAAAAGACGGGGGAAATTGTTCTTTAGGAAATTGAGGGTCTTCAGTTGCCTCATCTCCATGTAACCGAGCATTAACGGTATTATGTGCTTTCCACAAATAGCCAACAGTATCTTCTCGAGTTTTAACC